TCAGTGGCAGATCCTTTAAATATGAAAACGTACTTACGTGAGTCAGAACTGCTGGCATTTTAGTCTAACGTTACTCTCCCTGGATCAGTAAACAGTCCTCCATAAAATGTGCTGCACACATCTGAATATTTGGGTTGAACTGTTCTGGAACAGTGTTGTAAATACAACTTAACCACTGATTTCTAGTCGTGTCCTCTTTTGGAAGGCCAAACAAAGTAGTTTCGCTTTCACAACGACTCCACACAGCGACTCCACAACATGGTAGCGGCGGCAACAGCGAGAATAAAAGTTACGCCGCCTTTCTTTGCGTGAACATTTGGGCGGTGTTATGCAAATCTTCCCACATCGTGACGTAGACATGTGGAGGCGTGTTAGAACGAGCCGTTTTAGGTAGGTGTGGTTGACTCTTAACTTTTATAAAGAATATCTCTTTGGATTTGAGACTTTAGTCTTTGCAACTTTACAGATCTTCTTTATGCACCAAGAGCTTGTAACACTCCAAAGAAAAAGGAAAAATTTAAATTGCATCATATGACCCCTTTAAGCAGAAACTATGAACATATTAAAACAATGATTACATGATGTGATCATAGTGATCAAACACATAAGATGCAATCAATGCAGCCCGATTCACAAACAAATGACTCTAATGCACATACAGTGCAACCACTGTAGACTAATTCCCTCACAAGTGATGTTGATGAGTTGGTTCTTTATAGTGAATCAAGCACATACCATGCAAACAGTGTAGTCATTTCTACCAAACGAATGATTCTGAGACAGTTCTTTTTTGTGAATCCAACAATTGTGCTGCAACATCTAAGAGACATCTGAGATGTCAGTAGACACTGTTTTTGTCAGTAGCATTTGATAAAGAATAATAATAATGAATGAATGAATAAATGAAAAATCAGTATTCTTTAAGAAATAGTTAAGGCCAAAAATTATCCTTTTGCAAGAAGTGTTTTAAAAATGTAAAGTATTATTAATGTTATTGAAATTATTATTTTCCCCCTAAATATTTATTTATTTAAACTAAAAGAATTATTAATCGTTAAGGGGAACCTGGTTTTTTTTTTTTATTATTCCATATACACTGTAAACAAATTTCCACCTATTTTTACTTTAGTTGCTGCCTTAAAATTTTTAGTATACTCAATTTGGTTGTACAAGTCATTTCGACTTACATTCAAATGACATTAAACTGATTTTAAAAATTATTTCCTAAAAGTTGAAATTGCTCAACTTATTTATTATTAAGCTACTACTAAATATTGTAGAAACTTACTTTTCTGTAAAGTTGCTTTGCAACGATTTGTATCGTAAAAAGCGCTATACAAATAAACTTGGATTGAATTGAATTATGTTGATGAGTTCAAGTAATGCAAAAACATAAGTTGCCATGACTGATCATATCATTTTTACAGTGTAGAGAAATTATCATAGTAGATGCTAGAGGCTTCCCATGAGGTGCTGGTGAAAAAGCAGTGACGCTATTTCCTATCGACAGCTTCATGTCAAATTCATGTCAAATTCTCCAACCAGCCACCCCCTCACTAAGCCCTCCCCTCAACGGCCCCATTCAACCTTCCCTTCTCTTTTGCAGCCTTCCTGTCTGCCCTCATCACAATAGGTGACTGCCACACGAGAGACAGTTGCCAGAAACACTTTGCCACACCTTCCCCTTGTTGTTCTCCCGTCTCACTCCACAGAAACACATGAGCTTCGATAAGAAGCCAAGTCCTTGTGGGAACAGCCAGCTTCTCCAGATGGCAGTGAGGGAAGGGAGGAACGGGAAAAAACAGAAACACCTTGTATTTGCTCACAGGGCGAGAAAAGATCTGGATTTGATCAGTTGACACCGAATGAAATGACAATTTCGGGGGCTAGGCTGCTATTATTTCACATATCAGAGCATTTAAATAGGACCTGCCTGTTCAGTCTGTGTGCTTTTCTGAGGAATTTTGTCCCTGCTTTTTGTTATTCCTGCCAGCTTGATCAAGGTCGTCTTTCTTTTAAGTTATTAGTCTGCATGCTCCCTCTGCTGGCTGCTCAGGGGAAAATAAAGGAAGAAAGATGGGGGGCTCAGTCAGCAAATGTATGTGTGAGGGGCCTGGGGGCAAACAAGCTGTGTCTGACTGGTAAGGAGAGACCTGAAAATGAGGCACTAATGATAGGTGAATCAGCATTTCCAACGGGTTTATGGTGGATTCTCAGTCAGACTCTAATAGAGTCATTAAAATGAGGGGTCAAGTGCTCCCTGTGCTGACTGTTAGTATCAGATAGATTTACTGACTCTCAGAGACACTTTATATAGGGGACGGTGCATGCCACTAAGCATTGTTTTCCTTTCCCGTTGTGTCCTGTGAAGTAAACCTAATTTATTTTATCGAGAGGCTAAGTTAGCACTTAGTTTATTCTTCAATAAATTCATCCACTGCTTAACTCTGGCTGTCTCTCGCTGCCTCTGATAGTCTGTCATCGCAGGCCTGCTCTGAGCAGACATGAGCATCTGGGTGTCTTTTTGAAGTTCCCAGGTGTGAGCTCACATGCAGCTGCACTTCCTCCCCTGGTGGTATCTGCGAAAACGGAGGAGGATGATGAGTTGAAAGTCCTTCACACTCTCGTCAAGTTGTTTTTACAGCGCTACTTTTGCTATAATTCTTTCTCCCCACTCTACCGTGGCATCCCTCGCACCGAGCTACCTTAAAAAGCAGACAGATGGACTAAACAGCAGGTAGATAAATGCTGATAGCGCCTTGACGAGCCCTCAGACAAAACAAGGGGTCTTGTGAAAGAGAGCGCTTAAATGAGGCAAAGCAGCTGCTTCCTAGTGGCTGCGAGAATTGTTTTGTTTCATCCTTTCTGCGGCCTCCACCTCCATTCTGTAATTTGCCAGTCAGCCCCAGTTTAATAGCATTTAAGAACTGCTAATATGGCAACGTTTTGCACTTGAGTGATGTTAACATCCCCAAACTTTGTCTGTTGCAAAAAAGAATGGGCCATTGAATAGCAAAGTAGCATTTTATTCAAATGAAACTCTTTTAAATTAATTAAAAAATCTGCAGTTCTGTGGTGCAAGTAATTAAAGATAGATTAATGATCAAGCTAATGCAGTCGTCTGCCCAGTTCAGCACCTTGGAGAGCGCCACCTTCTCAGCTCAAATGTAGGGCAGTGATTTTCAGCACCATGGACAGCGGTCATCAGATCTTGCTGGAAAGCCAATATAGTCGGTGTTCTGTACTAACTGACACGCTCAGACGAACTGCTCCTCCGTGTACCCGACTCTCACCTCTCGGGTAGTTTGTCTGCTCCTCTCGCAGTTCCTTGGCAGAAGTCCTTTGCCTCTCAGTTCTCTAGGCTAAGAGTGATTGAAGAAACCTCCCAGTGCTATTAGACCACCATGCTCAATTGCCCCATAAGTCTCCACCCTGACCACTGACTCAGTGTAGCATTAGATTATGTGATACATCACCAAAAAAAAGAAAAGAAAGAAAGTCTACTTTTCCTTTTAGTTTCACCCAGCATGCTCTGGAATGTTCTTGAACTTGTCCTTGACAAAGGGCCCTTATCTCTTTACAGTAGTAACTGTCATACACTTGGGAAAGAACAAGCTGTAGACTGTCTTTCTTCTGAAGGAAACTGAGCAAGTAAGCAGCAAGTCTTTTGTTTTGGATTTTGCCTCTGGCCCTCTAGGGGCGACGAGACGCCCTGGACAGGCTAAACACAAGGTGTGTTGTGATTCAGGAACGGTACTTGCTGGGGTCAGCTCATGGCCAGGGATTACGCTGGAGGAACGTGCATAGCTTTCCAACCTTCTCAGCAGGCCATGGAACAACATTAAACTGGATTAGGAGCGTCACTCACCCTCTAGTCAGGTCGGAATTTTTACGTTGTCTAGCCAACCTCGCTATTCTTATTCTGTTGTCATGAGAACATTTTCTATGCATACAGAGACCAAACCCTATATGTGTTAATTAATATTACTCAAATAGTACATATTTGTGTAGTTATTTATAGAATTGGATGCATGTATTTATAATTTAATGTGTGCTGCGATTTATGTTTATCTGTGCGGTCTGTTAAAATCCTTACTGAGAAGTTATAGCATCAGTGTGAGTCTGTCCCAGATCTTGTTCCCATTCCATTGCTCTCGCTTTCTCACCTTGACTTCCTGCCTTCTATTTCATGTATCCATAAAATGAGGCCAAATAATAAAAAATAATCATCACTTTTACAGCCATAAACATGCAGACAGATGTCTTAGGCTGTTGTGTCACGACTCCCGCTGTATTGTCAAGTGAAATAATGGTTTTGCTTTTTCAAAGCATGTCTCAAGACCAGTGCGTCCCGTTCTTTTCTTTTACACTCAGTTTCACTTTTTTTAATGCAACAATGTGTCTTATTTAAAGGCCCCATAAGAAACTTGTCTGAAAACCTAACCTAATTATACAGGGCTTAGAGCCTAATGGATTTTAAAACTATATAGCTTTGCACATCCCTAGTACTGGTCCTAAATCCAGCCTCTGCTGACGGCTGCCGTAAATTCCTCTATGATGCTTTTACAAGCTTCAAACGTCTCTGTGTCTGAAAACATCTCTGTGTCTGATGGAACAGCCCTTGTCTGGCAACACATCCACAAGTGAGCAAAATCATCATGTACAACACATTATGTGACACTTGGCAGATGCTACACTCCTGTTAGAGGTGAGTTACGGAAGCAAGCGTTTGCCAAATTCAAGGATATTCCTCTCATTGCTCAGGTAAAGGTTTGTTGCCGGCTATATGCATAGCCCTTTCAGATGTAATCACTTTAATTAGATAAATATGGCTAATGAAGCAGGCCATTGGCTGGCAGTAGGCTAATGTTTCAGCATTTGTTTTCTGTGGAGCGATACATTTTTTTTCCCCCAGGTAAACTGACAAGCGCACCGTAATACAGGGCTAGTTCATGTTATCGGAAATCTGACTGGCTGTCAATTTCCCGCCTAATTTATCCCATCTGTTATTCATATGCAGCTGCAGGGGGACGGTGAGGAAGAATGGACAAACAAAATCAATCTGCAGACCCTATCTGCTACACATTTTCACAGATATGATGACAGCAAATAGTGTCATCACATTTCACGGTGTGCAAATCCAGGGAGGGTCTGTTTGGCTGACATGTCAGTACAAAAACGACACATCTGTGATGGTGTAATGAAATCTATTATGTTCGACTGTGAAATGTAAACCCCTTGAACAGATCAGATTAACATTGAAAAGTTTTGACATGAGGTCAATCAGGAGTGCCGTTTTCTGTGCACATTTGGTACACAACCATGTTTTAGATCATTATTTTCAAAAGTGGCCTTAAGTATTAATTAAGTTGATGGTTTTCTGTGACCCTCTCTATTCCTCTCAGTATTGTCCTATTTTTTGCCTCTTGGGTGGGATTTGTCCTAAATTCTTCACACAACGTTTGGTCTAAAATGTATTCGTACTTTGATTTGACCATATTTATTTGCTACACATGGATCGGCGCGGCTTTTTCCTCTGAACAACTCATTTCAAAGTTACTCGGGCCTTCATTAGTCCCTCAATGTCCTTATCATGTGTCTTCATACACTACAGCAAATGCTGCCCTTGAGAACCTTCACAAGATCCACTTCAGGCTATTTTTCTCCTTTTCTCTGTTCAGGCGACAGTAAGAACTCCTTTTTTCTCTGTGCAACCACAGCAAAAGAAGATCCCACCAGGGAATTACAAGCAGAATTCAAATCTAAAGCAGGAGGAGGGGGGACGGAGGGTAAAAATCTCAGTACTTAAACATAATTTTAACATAATCATTTATCAGATCCTAGGAAGGAGTTTCTCAGATGTTACAGCATTTTTGTTTCGTTTCCGAATGATGTCGCAGCTTAGAAAGATCCAGAGGATATGTGTCGAACAGAAGGTGCCCTTTGCCCCAATATGTTGTTGTTAAAGCATTCAGCCCGCAGCCACATACTAACTCACTCCCCCTGGGGGTTTACCATCTTTGTTCACATCCTGAATGGAGCTCATAATAAATACATTTAAAGGACCGCGCATACTTTACCATTTGCATAGACATCAAAATGACAGATTAATGTCAAATCCACCTGCAAATGTCAGCAAAAGTTCAGCAAAATAGCAAAAGATGTGATGAAAGCCAACGTCTCGGCTACTTCACAGCCGTCTACGCTTGGCATGATCACTGCTCATTCGGTTTCCTCCATTTTTGAACTTTAAGGCAAGCAAAGATGTAAAATGAATCCAAACAGGTGTTGGAAATCCCAACATTTCACAGACAATTATTTTGTCAATGGCTTACTTAGTGATCCTCCTTTGTGGGCCCTTTCAAAATGGAGAGAATTTCATTTCACAGCCATCAAAAAGAACAGTGGCTTTATTCCCAGTTGACACTGTTACTTGTTTTTTTTTTTTTGCTGCATGATTTCTCGCCTTAGAATTGTTTGTGTGTTGTTAAGAGTCGCTGTGTTTGTTGTTCATGTTACAGCGCTTTGGGAATGACCCTAAATGTGGAGGGAGAGGCAAAGAGGCCTGTATAATCGCTGTGTCAGAATGTTTCATAAACAGCTTAGTTGCGAGAGGATGCTTTTAAATATAGATGCAACATAATGAAGAAAGAAAGGAAAAATATAACGCTGGGTGAAACGATATTGTGTGAGAATAGGATCCGGCGTACTGCATATATTGGATTGGGTTTATATAGCATTTTAACTTTTTTCGACCTCCACAGCAGCCTCTCCCACAAGTGGTTTTCTTTGGAAAGTTTGGCACTATATTTTTTTTCATGGCGGAGTAGTAAATATGTAAATACTTTTAACACTTTCTCAAGTTTTTGGAGTGTTAAAATTGACTGTGTCTAAATTTTGAAACACATAAACTGCATCAGTTATATACTTAAAGTGATATGAGAAGTAGGTCACTGACATTTTTCCACAGAATCACACAAGCTCTTTTTTTTGACCTTGCAAAGATTGAGCGAATGCCAAATGCATGTCACAAACTACAGTTCAGTGTCAAGTGAACTCGGTGTGCTCAGTGTTTTATAATGTTTTCTTCCTTAAAGGAATAGTTCACGCAAAAATGAAAATTTGTTGAAAATGTACTCACCCTCAGGACATCCTAGATGTAGATGAGTTTGTTTATTCATGGGAACAGATTTGGATAACTTTAGCATTACATCACTTGCTCACCTCTGGATCCTCTGCAGTGAATGGGTGCCGTCAGAATGAGAGTCCAAACAGCTGATAAAAACATCACAATAATCCACAAGTAATCCAAAAGCCTCCAGTTAATCAATTAACATCTTATGAAGTGAAAAGCTATGTTTATAATGAAAAGAAAATCATCATTAAAACATTTTAACTCTCTAGCCATGATATTGTTCTCTTGTAAAAAAAAAAGTAGTCTCTTCTGAATCAGGAGAGAAATATGAGTAACACTTTATTTTGTTGGTCCCTTTTGAGCATTCTGTTGACAGTAAGTAACGTTGCACCTACATGTCAGCTAACTCTCATTAGAGTATTAGTAGACTGTCTGCTTAATATCGGCTAACTCTTTATTGTGATGGTGTCCCAACAAGACATTCTACTGACTATAAGTAACTTTGCTAGTAAGTCAACTTATTCTAACCCTACCAGACTACTAATAGTCTACTAACAATCTAATGAGAGTTGGTAGATATGTAGGTGCAACATTACTCATAGTCAACAGAATGTGTTAAAGGGACCATCAAAATAATGTGAAACCGAAATAGATCAAACACAGTTTTTCCAGCAAAGACAGTCCAAAACAATTTGGATGTGAGAGGACAACAGGAGATGGACTTTTTAAGCCTCGGATTATGGCCAGACAGTTAATGATTGATTTGTTTCTTAAAAACAAGCATCTTTTAACTAGAGAAGACATTATTTGTTCGACTGGATTACTTGTACATTCTGATGTTTTTATCAGCTGTTTTGGACTCTCTTTGGATTCTGACGGCACCCATTCACTGCAGAGAATCCATTGGTGAACAAGTGATGAAATGCTGAGTTTCTCCAAATCTGTTGAAGATGATGAAGAAACAAACTCCAGAATTTCAAAATTTTGAATTATGAAAAAAATTGAATAGCTTTTATGGAATTATATCTGTACAAACTACTATTGCTATTAGGGATGTAACGATTCGCTCAACTCACGATTCGATTCGATTCACGATTTTGATTTCACGATTCGATTCGATTCACGATTTTTGTATTATTTTATTTGCACTGTAGAGCCCTGCATCTAAACTTTTCTAAAGACAGCAAGTTCCCTTCAGACATGGATTCATAAACTACCCCTAAATGAATCGCGATTTGTTTAGCATCTCAACCGATTTGAATCGTCACATATTTGAATCGATTTTCAACCGGCTCGTGGTTAATGGTTACATCCCTAATTGCTATTTGTTTTTAATACATAGTTTTACATTTGTTATTTATTTTGTAAACTGCATTAGATTTAACAGTAAATTAATAATATAAGCATATATATTTTCACGAAAAATTTCATTTTTTGTTGTTGAGCCAGCAAAAATGTTGGCCAAAAATCTGCCACTATTATTCTGACCAGGCCAGCAGAAAAAAAGTATTTATTGTTGAGCCCTGAGCCCTACTTGATTTGAAGATTCTCTTTTAATCAGTTCATCCTATCCTCAGAAGGCCTGCTGGTGTATTTCAGCTCTGCATGTGCCTGCCAACACCTCCAAATGTGGTCACACAGATCTGAATTAAGTGTCTCCGTTCTCTTTTAACATTGCACACACCATTGCCAGTGTCACGGTGTGTCATTAAGTTTCTTGTGTGATTTTTGCAATAGCTTCTGC